AGGCATAGTGGCTCACACTTCTAATCCTAGCACTCTGGGAAGCTGAGTCCGGTGGATTGCCTGAGCTCACAGGTTTGAGACCAGCAAGACCTTGTCTCTAAAAATAGCCAGCATTGTGGCAGGCACCTATAGTCCCAGCTACTTCGGAGGCTGAGGCAAGAGTGTTGCTTGAGGCCAAGAGCTGGAGGTTGCTGTGAGCTGTAGAGCTGGAGGTTGCTGTGAGCTGTGACGCTACAGCACTCAACCGCGGGCGACAAAACGAGACTCTGTCTCCAAAAAATAAAATAAAAATAACTCAAGGCTACTATACTACTAGATTAGCACTCTTCCTGGTCCGTGTCCCCAACCCCCACCCCAAGCTTAGACAGTCCTCTCCCACAGTGGAAATCCGGCCTTTCCCTGCAGAAATTCACATCCCTCCAACTCTTAAACTACCTCTCAGTCATTCAGTACCAACCTAGGACCATCAGCTAATAATCTCAAAATCTTAACGCCCCTACCCTCTGCGGCCTCTTATCTCTGTCCTCTATCTTCACACTGGAGACTACCGCAAGTCTTCCACGCTCATTACCGCTTCGGGGATCCTAAGTCAGGAGTCCCTCTGATTTTCTCTCTCCACGCACCGCCCCCCAATCACCTCCTTCCCTCTAGGGATCCTTCATGTCGCTCCTAAGACCCTCTCCCACGACACCTCACTGCCCCTCACTTCTGTTTCAGTATAAGTGCCTCTTCTCCTGGTCTCTCAACTCCACTTACCTCATCCAGCTCCCGTTCCCCAGCAGCACCTCCTCCAACCTCTACCTCCACCACTGCCGCCATCTTCACGGCTCGCCCCCTCCCCGCAGTCCCCGCGGGAGCCAGCTGCTTCCGCCGCCCAAGTGCTCCTAGCCAATCGGCCGTGCGGGCTCCTGCGGAGGGGGCGGGGCATCAAGACAAGTGGAGACCTGTCAGGGACCGAGAGACTATCACCTACCTGCTGCTAGTTTCAGGATCTAGGAGAGATGACTCAAGCTGTAACTGGAGAATGTTCTTGGCAAAACAAAGACTGGACTCTTATTCTTTTCAGTGCAAACATTTAGCCAATTCTCCCCTTTGGTGACCTAAAGGGGAAAGTCTGTAAATAAGCAACTTTCACGACTCTCCCTCACTCTGGGTTCCCAGGAATGAGGGGGGGACTACCTTTCCCAGGATGCATTGAATGTGACCCGGAAGCTTAAATTCTACGGAAGAGTTGTAGTAAGTAAAAATATACATTAAAACATGGTCAAATGTATTTTTCTGATCTGTCACCACCTGACTTGCCTTGATAGGAGTCATTTTCGGAAACTGCGGCCTCTTGAGCTTCCAGAACGCATTCCTGAGCTTTGGAAAGTGAAGTGTGGCGCTTGGGGTCAAAAAGCGGAGGTCAGAGGGCTGATTTGGCGGGAGAATGGGTTTGTGGTCCATGCTCTGAGGCGGCTGCGGCTTTCCATGGTCCCGGGTGAGGCGCGCCGGAGTTTGTTGGTGGGGAGGGGAGTGGCTGAAAGGGAGGAGGATGGCCATCAATAAACGGCCAAAACGATTCATTTTGAAGGTGTTGTGGAAGTAGCCGTGAGGATTCTTGCCAAAGCTGAGAGCTGAAGAGCCTACTGGACATGCACGGCCCCTAAATTCTGCTTCTTATTTACGCTCTCGCGCCACCTCATGCATCTTGGTATTTTCTTTCCTTCTTTCTTTCTTTCTTTCTTTTTTTAAAGAGACAGAGGCTCACTTTGTTGTCCTCGGTAGAGCGCCGTGGCATCATAGCTGACAGCAACCTCCAGCTCTTGGGCTTAAGTGATTCTCTTGTCTCAGCCTCCCAAGTAGCTGGTAGTACAGGTGCCTGCCACAACGCCCGGCTATTTTTTTGTTGCAGTTTGGCCGGGGCCAGGTTCGAACCCTCTACCCTCGGCATATGGGGCCAGCGCTCTACTCACTGAGTCACAGGCGCTGCCCTACCCTCCTTTTTATACACCTGTTCACCATGCCCACCCCCACTTATACCATCGTGACTGATTTTTCAACACCCTGTTCTTTGTGCATTTCAGCTGGATAACTTGGAATCCTGTTGTCCCAGCTCACTTCCCTTTGGGCGTCTGGCTGCATCTCTTGGGTGAATAGGACTAGGATGATGACCATTGGACTTATAGAATCCCTAGAACACCAGTCAACTTTACATTGAGACCAACAGAAAATTACAGGGTAATATTTACCTCATCTACAGGCATCTTGTTCACTTTTAAAAAACATTTTTTAAAAATAGATTAAGGAGGTACAGGTTGAATTCTTGTTACATGTGTGATCGTATAGCGATGGAATCTGGGCTTTTGGTGTATTCATCACCCAAGTAATGTATATTGTACTCTCATAGATAATTTGTCATCTCTCACCCCCTCCCACCTTCCTCCCCTTGTGAGTCACCAATGTCCTTGGGTGACCATAGTTAAGCTCCCACTTTTTTTTTTTTTTTTTTTTTTGAGACAGAGCCTCAAGCTGTCCCCCTGGGTAGAGTGCCGTGGCATTACAGCTCACAGCAACCTCCAACTCCTGGGCTCAAGCGAGTCTCCTGCCTCCGCCTCCCAAGTAGCTGGGACCACAGGCGCCCGCCACAACGCCTGGCTATTTTTGGTTGCAGCCGTCATTGTTGTTTTGGCAGGTCCGGGCTGGGGATTCGAACCCGCCACCTTAGGTGTACGTGGCTGGCGCCTTAGCCGGTTGAGCTATAGGCGCCGAGCCTAAGCTCCCACTTATAAGTGAGAATATGTGGCATTTACTTTTCTGTTCCTGAGTTACTTAGGATAATGGTCTCTGGTTCCATCTAAGTTGCTGCAGAAGCCATTACTTAATTCTTCTTTATCTCTGAATAGTACTCCCTGGTGTGTGTGTGGATACACATACTCATTTCCTTAATCCACCTATCAGATGATGGGACACTTAGGTTGAATCCATGTCTTTATGATTGTGAATTATACTGTGATAAACATACAAGTGTTTTTTTGTTTGTTTGGTTTTGGTTTTTTGTTTGTTTTATGCTTTTTTACCCCCAGGTGACCCCCTTCACCAGCCATTGTCAAAGGCTAGTGAGATTTTTCTTTGTTTTGTTGTTGTTGTTGTTTTAAGGTAGAGTCTCACTCTATTGCCTGGGCTAGAGTGTCAGGGCCTCAGCCTAGCTCACAGCAATCTCAAACTCCTGGGCTCAAGCCATTCTCCTGTCTGGGCTTACACAGTAAGTGGGACTACAGACGCCCGCCACAACATAGTAGAGATGAGGTTTCGCTCTTGCTCAGGCTAGTCTCAAACTCCTGAGCTCAAAGGATCTTCTTGCCTTGGCCTCCCAGGCTAGGATTACAGGTGTGAGCCACTGGACCCAGCCACAGGTGTCTTTTTGATATACTGTTTTCTTTTCTTTTGGGTTCATTTACTTAAAATAAAAATAATTATTCTCACATGAATATGGTGAGTTTTATAAAAACTATATGCCCATCACCTTAAATTGACTGTTGACATAATGATCTATTTATGTCCTCATTTTTTTAAAAGGTAGAATAATGCAATGAAATTTGAATGTATACACTTGGCATGGTGGCTGATGCCTGTAATCCTAGCACTCTAGGAGGCCAGGGTGGATGGATTGCTTGAGCTCAGGAGTGAGCAAGAGTCAGACCCTGTCTCTGTAGTCTCAATTCCTCAGGAGGCTGAGACGAGAGGATTGCTCAGGCCCAAGAGTTTGAGGTTGTTGTGAGCTGTGACACCACAGCACTGTACCCAGGGCAACAGTCTCTCATCCTCCCCAGAAGCAACCATTATTATAAATTAACTGAGAACTCCCAATCTATTAAAAAATATGTGATTCCAGGCTGGTCTGAGTGCAGTGGTATTTACAACTAATTGATCACAACCAATTACAGATTCCTTTGTTCCTTCTCTCCCACTGCTTCACTTGACTAAAAAAAAAAAAAGTGATTCCACAAACAAGATAAAGTATTTTATTTTGTCACTAACAAGTGCTATTTTCTATGTATCATTCTGTAACTTAATTTTTTCACATAGTATTATTTTGGAGGCCTATGTTTATGTACATTTACACCTGATTGATTCCTTTTAACTTATATAGTACTCCATGTTATGAAATATGACATTTCATTTATCCATTCCTCAACTGATAGACAATAGAGTTTTATGGTTTTTGCAGTTAGAAACATGGTATTTGTCTTTTTGTGCACATCTATCTCTCTGGAGCTGGGCTATTCAAATAAATTAGATACTAACCACATGTGGCTATTGTATTCCTTTTTTTTTTTTTTTTT